GTACACACTTCTATCCTTGACTCTGTCACTCCACAGGGACCTTCAATTTGCTAACATGTCTGTCACTCCAACAAGACTGTGCTTCTTGAGGGCAGGGACTACATCCTACCTGTCTTTATAACTCCAGGCCCAGGAATTCAAAGTGTGTTGAATAGATGATTTGGATTCACTCGGTATATGTGAACTCCTGTGGGTACACAAGCACCCTCAAATTGTGCAACAACTGACCCGAGAAGTCACATCTGTGCACATGTTTCTCATACAAACTGAAGAGGGGCTTTGACAATTACTGGATTCATTGACAAGTATTGGTTTATTAAGAGCCTTATCAGGCTTTATACACACATATTTAAGAGAAAACCGTTTGAGGACCTGAATGCATTGATCAAATAAACGGATGGCTGTCAAAACTCCTCTTTTCCTGGAACTCTATAGACACTGACCTAGACGCTCATTCAACCCCAGGAAATTCTGTTCTCATTTGCCCTAAAGCTACTTTCCTCAAACCACGCTTGGGCTCTTTACCTCCTCTGATAACTTTGGATCAATAGGTGGAAGATGCTCGTGGGTTTCAGATGTTTTTACCCTCACTGTCTCACTTCCTGGCTCAGACCGAAATATCTTTGGACTGAAGACAATTCAAGAGCTGGCCAAAAACATCGATCCTGCCCAGTTTAGACCACATGCCTTTTTATGGTCCTTCCCATCAGAGTGAGTGTAATTAAGACTCTAGACTGATGAGTGTACAGTCTTTTCCATAAAATTGCTTAGCTGGGCAGACCTTTTCTCTTCCATGTTCTTTAGTTACCTCAAAGGTCTATGAGGCGGGGGTCAGGCGTGGGTCTCTTTCTTAAGGAAGAGGAACCAAAAGGTCTTTGACCAAGGACAATTTCCCACTGCAGCACTTAATGCTCCATTCAAGTTGCCTAATGAACAAATCTGACACGTATTTCCAGTGTAATATGAAGGTTAGGAATCTTCTACTTTGAAACTATTCTCTGCTTTGCAAAGGATCCTTCAAAGGACTTCATACTACTTTTAACCACAAAGCCGCTACACATGGTCTTGCATTACTCCCTTCCCTTACTCTTTGTGTCAGAGTTCAGAGGTCATATGGAAAAGTTGAATGAATTGCATTTAATTTGTGAAATTAAGGATACCCTTTTGCTGCACTTTAGTCATACACTTTTATTAAAACATTCTTGGGCTTCCCTGGTGGTGCAGTGGTTGAGAGTCCGCCTGCCGATGCAGGGGACACGGGTTCGTGCCCCGGCCCGGGAAGATTCCCCATGCTGCGGAGCGGTTGGGCCCGTGAGCCATGGCCGCTGAGCCTGCGCGTCCGGAGCCTGTGCTCCGCAGCGGGAGAGGCCACAGCAGTGAGAGGCCCACGTACCACAAAAAAAAAAAAAAAAAAAAAAAAAAATTCTTAACTCATTCTACTATCAAAACAGCAACATTTCAGAAGAGATTTTAGAGCTACAGTCTGTTAGAAGCAACAAAAATGAACAACAAAGGTCCACTTAGGAAAGCCCTAGTTGAAGAGGGGGGAGAAAGGGTCTGAGCTGTACTCCCTTCCCCTCTATTCTCCAATCAGTAGCTCACCTCTTCCTCCTCCCTTGGGGGCACAAAGAGGCCTGTAGCCTCACTCTGATGGAGTTTCTTTCACATGGAAATATAAAAAGACTCACCACTCTCAAAGGTATTTTTTTTTTAGTCTGATAATTTAGGGAAACAGTGGACTGACCTCTGATAAGCAAAGTCAGTCTGATTTCCTTACTGCAGGCCTGGGAGCCTCTAATATGTGTGCTGCGATTCTTAAGGGACAACATGGCGGGCAGTTTTCTCTAAAGGCATTTGACCAGGGAACACTTTCTTCCCAGATCATGTCTTTTCAAGGTTAGTGTTCCATGGAACACACTTTGAGAAATTCTGCCTGACAAGAGTCTAACCCCTGGTTTTGCACATTAATTCATACTTTTTTTCATACCTAGGAACCCTCCTTTCAAAAAACGATCACTTCTCAAAAAGGAGGAATATTCCTACCGCTTAGAGCATCTCTGGTTTAACTCAGTGAAGAGTTGTCATGCTATTTGGCCAGAGCTAAGCCATGCCCTCTATTATAGCTTTATCAGTAAGAAAGGAGATATTTTCGTTTCCAACTATTGGAATACTGTGTCTCTCAATTTGTTCAAAACTCAGGCCCATTTTACCGGCTCATTACAACATCAACAAGATGCATTACACTGGAGTTCCTCCAGATGCATTTTGAAAACCACTGCTGTAGGTTGCTGGGGGGCCATCACAGAGTTGAAAGCAAAGAAACAACAAGATCAAATCAAGAGCTAATATAGGTAGGGAGATCTGACTGAGTCCAGGAAAAAGATGCTGGGGACCTGATCCAGGGCAAGGCTGGCTAGGGGAGAGAGGAAGTCATGGAGGTGGCAGAGAGGGGGGCAGGGCTTGATGGGGCACAGGGGAGCTGAGGATGACGTCCTGGTGGCTGACTTGGGTGACTGTGGGTGGAATAAAGGTGGAGGTGAGTTGTGATCTTGATCTGCACTGTGTGTCCTCAACTTTTAAGGCTAGAGGAGGGGAAAGATACCATTGGTAACAAGGAGGAAGAGGGAAACTATGAGAATAGGGTGAGGCTTTTGAAAGGAAATCCTTTCCTGGGGTTGGGGTAGAAAACTGCTAAGACAAAACATGTACCAAGAGAGGCCCTTGTCTTTGGGGCCTGACCTTGGAGGCTGCTTCCCTTCAGTTCCCATCCAGGTCCACAACTTGGGAGGTGACATTAGCAGCTTCTCCAGCAAGAAGAGTATTCTAATTCAGCAGGTACTTTCTCACCTTCAGGTTACAACTGCCATTCTGGTGTCTACCTGTGTCATGTTTCCTTAAGTTGTTAGGAGTAGTTCTGTAGGGGCTGGTACTCCTGGGAATTGATGAGCAGGAACATCTGGGACTTTGCCCTACTGACTTGAGCACTTGTGTCCATGGGAAGCCCTGGCTAGTGTGATCAGCCTTCCATGAATTTCTGCACCATCTCTCTTGTGGAGAAACTATGAAGATCAAAGGAGGTAACAATTGTGAAGAACCAAAGGCAGTGCTTGGCACATAGTAGGTGCTGCCCATATTAGGTTCTTCTCTTTTCTCTAATATCCACAGCCCTCAAATGTGCCAGATCTCCAGAAAGGTCATCCTGGTGGTGAAAAGCTCTGACTTGGTACTAGACCGACTTGAGTGTGACTCCTCAGCATAATAATACCACACTTAGAAACTCATTGTTTTGCCCCATAAAGAGCTAAGTACAATGCCTGGTACCTAACAAGTGTTCAATACACCACACTATATTATCATCAATACAAATCCAAAAGAGTCTAGAAAAGATACTGAGTTCAGATGTGACAGACCAAGGCTTGACTCCATCCCAGAATATTCAAAAACAATTTGCCACAAAGCACTTTTCCCACAAAAAAATGCAAATTGCTTTTTATTTCATTTATGCATCTTTTAGAATCTATAAAGAGTTTGTGTTGTGGGCTGTACATCAACTGGTCCCTGACACTTTGCAAAGCTAATGAGGAATGTTTGATCAACTCACCCCAGGGCTCAGTGGGTTGCACGGTATAGTGAGTTGAATGGCGGCCCCCCAAAATTTATGTCCAAGTCCTAACCCACAGTGACAATAAATGTGACTTCATTTGGAAAAAGGGTCTTTGCAGGTGTAATTAAGTTAAGGATTTCGAGATGAGATGATCCCGAATTAACCAGGTGGGCTCTGAATCCAATGACAAATGTCTTTAGAAGAGACAAATGGGGAGAGATACAGGCAGGAGAGGAGAAGTCTATGTGAAGGTAGAGGCAGAGATTGGAGGCAGCCACAAGCCAAGGAACGCCAGGAGCCACCAGAAACTGGAAGAAACAAAGGATTCTCCCCCCAGAGGCTTCTGAAGGAGCATGGCCTGGCTAACACCTTAATTTCAGACTTCTAGCTTCTAGAACTGTGAGAGAATAATTTCTGCTGTTCTAAGCCACCCAGTTTGTGGTAATTAGCTACAGAAGCCACAGGAAACTAATACGTAAGGAACAGAAACACACTCAAACTAACTTTGGCAACAAGAAAGGTGGAGAGAGGGCATTTTCTAGGAAGACACAGTGGGTATCATGGATTCCGAGGATGGGAAGTTCAGGCTGGCCTCATAAGGGACAAGGACCAGGACCTAAGAGGTTGGGAATAGGGTGGCTCTTTTGCTCATGGACACTTGACCTCTCTTGTCATCCTCTCTATCTGCAGGCTGGCTTTCTCTGGTTCTTCACACACGCAGCCAAAACAGTCACCTTCAACGTGACCTGTCTGCACATCGCATTTTAAGCTCATAAACAGTTCTATCCACCAGCTTGACAGGTCAGGGAGAACCTGACCTTCTTTCCAAGTCTTCTTTCCTGCATTATAGACAATGTCCTTAGCTTTCCAACCTTCTGTGTCCTCAGACTCCTCTCTCTGGCGTAAGCACATCATGTCGCAGAGGGGGAGAAAGCAAAGAGCTGTCCATTAGATTCTTTTCTTGTTCTAAACATGAAGTTAATCTACTGGAACAAAACCATTATTGATTTGTATCTGTGATAGCCTTCTGAAACAACCAGGGTGTGCTCCTCTTGGCAAAATTGTCGGCCTGTTTGCACGCAGATCTTAATTTTTAAAAATTCCTATTTACTAATTTTGCGTTTTGGCTTCTAAGGGCTCCTTGAGGCCAAGTGGCACAGGAGATATTGGGAGGTAGCCCCAATATCTGACTTTGCCTTTGCTTATAATGCCTTTGATCTGAAAAGCCAAGTTTCAGACCAAACAGAAATCCAAGCCAGGCAGGCGGGGAGCAGAACAGGAGAAACGGGTTCTGGGGAGAAACTCATTCCTTGAAATCACTGAGCAATCAAGGAGAATTTGCTGAGTGCACAGTACACGCAGAACCCTGAGCTAGAGCTGGGATTACAGAGGGGAATAAGCCGGACGTTGTGCTTCCCACATGGAGCTTATGACCATGGGAGAAGCAAGCAGGGAGAAAAGAAAACAACCGAGAGGAATGCATAATTGCAAGCTGCAACAAAGGTCATGGAGCAGAGGGGTCTGGCACAGCGAGAATGAATAACTCCGGCAATCAGCCCAAGGGGTCAGGGAAGTCTTCTCTGAGGAAGGAGTATTCCCTGAGATCTGAAGTGTGAGTAGGTGTTTAACTAGATGAAGCTGAAAGGGGTGGGGCGATGGGGGATATTGTAGGTAAAGGGAACATTGTGTGCAGATATCCATTATGCCATCCAGGTAGAAAGCCATAAAATGTAACTTAGAGACATATGTACACACTCAGACCCACTGACTTGTGAAGCAATGAGACATCAGGCAGTTATGCTCTGCTTTTTTGCATACCTGCAGGTACAAGGGGCTGCATGAGGCTTTCCACCAGGCCTCTGACCCCAGGGAGCTCTCCCTAGAGCCTCTGGCATCCCTGGCCTGGCTGAGTGCCTTCAAGGCTGCCTCAGGGTCCGCATCCTCTAGAGCATATCAGGGAGCCCAGTCTAAAGGAGCCTAGGCAGACAGAAAACAGTAGATTATGTCAGAAAGAAAATTTATTCTGAAATGAGGAACTGTTTTGTTTTCTTTTGTCTCTAAAGGGAGAAGATGGGATTCCTGGGGCATGCGGAGATGACCACCTGAGATTTTCCCATCTGAGGGGTGCCCGTCTGAGGTCTGCCAGTCCTCCTGAGAAGGCCACCTGGAGGAGTTAGTTTATCACCCCAGGAGAAGGAATCAATGTAGGGAAGAGCAGAGGATATTAGGAGGGGCACCTGGCTTCTCCCCAGGACATTCACCATCCCTGGCCATTCCTGATGGCCCACTCCTTCCTGTGTGTCCCAGGAGCCCAGGCTACGCCCCTCCCGTGGCCTGCTTTGCAGTGCTTTGCCGACCTGTCTCTCTCCCCCACTTGCCACTGGGCTCTTTGAGGCACTGTGTCTTCTTCAGTTTTTGTTCTGTGCCTAGCACCTGCCATTCACATGATAAGCATTCAATAAATATTTATCAAAGGATGAATACACACACCTTATTAATTTACACTCCGCTTTAGTCCCAAATATTCTGAGGCTGAATCATGCTGCTTAGAAATAGATGAGTGGAGATTAAATGAAGGGTATGGGTCACACTGCCTTGTACATAGTCCGTGCTCAATTGTGACTAATTGAATGAGTGGTTATTAACATGGAGATGTTACATATCTGGTACATATATGTAGCACAATTTATTTCTTAACGGCATTGATTCTGTACAAAGCAGCACTTTGGGGTAGGATTCATACATTCCTAAGCTAGCTATTTCAGTGAAGCAGAATCTTCCAATTACCATTCTCTTTATACATAAGAGAATATACTTCTGCCCTTCCATTAAAGATAGGACATAGGGGCTTTGTTTTGTTTTGTCTTATTCCTGACCCTTGAAGGTCAGGACAACTAGTTCCCCTAACTTGTATGTGAGTGTGTGAGTGTGTGTGTGAGTGTGTGAGAGTGTGTGTGTGTGTGTGTGTGTGTGTGTGTATGTGTGTTCAGGAAACAAAGGCTGAAAGTCCTTCAGCAGAGGCGGCTGAGGTTCCTGTGTCTCCTCCTTGCATAATGAGTCCTGCCAGTTACGGCTGCACGAGGGTGGGAGCGGATGGCAGCTTGCCAGCATGGTCGGAGGCATTTGGATAAAAGGACATCAATATTTATCAAAGCTGCTCCGACGTGCTTCCACGGCGGCTGCCAGAACAGGGAGCTCTCCCGTGCTTATATATAGTTTTCTCTGTATGAGATAAAAGTTTGGGGCCATTAAGGGAAAAAAAAATGTTTGTACTCTGCTCCCCAGTTACCTAGGCTAATTTACGGCACTAGGAGGCCTTGTGATTCATTAATAATATACAAATACAAAGCAAGGGAAGAAATTGCCTTGTTAATTGACTTCTGTGACGCTAATCTAGGACTCCTTGGCTTTAAACATTACTCAACAACTGCGCTTACACCAAACATTTTAGAGAAAGCAGAAAGCCACCCAATACAAATGTTTGAAATCATCGCCTCTGGGCTTTATAAACAGACACTCACCTCCGCTCCTTCTCTTTAGGAGTCTGGAGGTAGAAGACGCAAGGAAAAGACACATAGAGATGGGGATAGACTCAACCATCCTAGAATACAGCACAGACATGCTACAAATGACGGCCAGGCTGTGCTGGGCAGTGCTGGGCTGTGCTGGGCTACGTAGAGTGTTGCCAGGTTCTCTACTCCAGACCAGATGGCTGCAACGCTTGATTAGAAACAGTATTATTAGGCTCAGCTGACTGGTCCAATTAGAAGCAAAGTTCATCAGCGTCTTAAGAAACCAAATCTCCCCCACTGACATCCCTAGGCTAGGCTTCTGTCTCTTGTCCTCTCTGATCATTGCCTATGGAGAAGACACAGAGCTTTCGGCAGTTCCCTAATGATGAACTGGGAGGTAGCAAAGTGGAGTGACAAGGTTTCCTAGGCCAGCCTTGATAGTCAAATGGATCTGAATTTGAATCCTACCCATTTTCCCACCAACTACCCATCCCTACAAGTCTGGGAGTTGGAGTTTCAAGTTCATGAATGTGACCTTAGGCATTAGCAACTTCCTTATCCCCTTTGAGTCTGCTGGGGTCATCTGGATGACAAATATGGTTCCTCCTTGTAGATGTCACTCACCCATGGTGTGGGGAGCCATGTAGATTTCACAAGGTGGACAAAGGGGAGCCTTTAGTTGCATGTCCCACAGTATACAGCTTAATCCTTCTGCTAGATTTTTCTATTCTCCCCAAGGCCCTCCTTAATTGCTTAAACTCTGTGACTTTTTCCTCTCTGATCTTGCCCTTTGGAGTCTCCTAATTCTTCTCATTCTTTCCTTTTTTTTTTTTTTTTTTTGCGGTACGCGGGCCTCTCACTGCTGTGGCCTCTCCTGCTGCGGAGCACAGGCTCCAGACGCGCAGGCTCAGCGGCCACAGCTCACAGGCCCAGCCGCTCCGCAGCATGTGGGATCTTCCCAGACCGGGGCACGAACCCGTGTCCCCTGCATCGGCAGGCGGACTCTCAACCACTGTGCCACCAGGGAAGCCCTCCTTTTTTGATTAATAGAATAAAAGTGAGAAAATCGATCTGGTGTGTGAAGCTTGAGATTCATCTTTCCGTTCTGTAAAATGCGGATGATATTAATTTCTACCTCATAAGGTAAGAGGGAGGACTAAATGAGAATTAAGTAACTGTGAACTCTAAAACAATGTTTTTCTAACATGACCCATGAAATCAGTTTGATGGGTTGCCACCAGCATTAAAAAAATGAAGTAAGATAAAATAGAATAGAAAATATCAGAGGGCATCACCTGTAGTAGGGGTCAGTCTTATTTTGTGAATCTTTTCTTCCAGCTTTATATATGTGTGTGCACGTGTATGTGATCACTGATGGACTGTAAATGGATTTTTTCTGTAGGTTACAATAAAAAAAAGTTTGAAATATTTGTCATTAAAATTTGCCTTCATCTTTGAGGCAATGATCTCTGAGAGTCAGGGAGACACCAGATCCTAATGTTGAAAAGATCAGAGGCCCTACATCCAGCCCCCAGCCAGAAGGCTATAACATCCCACCCAAGGCACGATCTAGCAGCCCAGGGACCTAATTCTGGTCACAGATATTTTTGTAAGGCTCACATTGCATTGATAAAAAATTTTGAAATCATTTGAAAATCAGGAGGTTGGACATGAAAATCTAGATTTTCAGTTTCTCTGGAAAATTCAGATTTGACCATACCAGGTATCTTTCCCACAGTCTCTGTCCTGCCTGCATCCTCATTTGTCTCCTGCCTGGGCTCTGGAAGCACGTGAAGCCTCAACTCTTGGTGGATTCCATGGGCCATTTGCTGCTCACTCCTTGACCTAGGGTCCTTCCCCAGCGAAGGCTCGATGTCTGTTTTAAAGAATCACAAAGCTGGATTGTACTCCAAGGTTCCTTTGGTCCAAACCCTCATTTGTGGGTGGAGGAAAGAGGCCCAGGGAGGAGGAGGTGACTCACCCAAGGTTACACAGATCATCACTGATGCAATGGGAAAGTATCCAGATCTCCGCCCTCCTGGGTCAGTGCTCCTGTCCTCATGAAAATGGAGACTTTCTAAGAGATGTGCTTGATTCACTTCAAAGGTCATCAGCCCTCACTTTTCCCCTCTGTCTCCATCAAGGCAAATGTTTACCTTGCAAAGGTGAAATTAGATCCAGAGTGGTTCTGGCTTGTTTTACAAGGTGTTTTCATGACTCCGCCTTTGCCTTCCCTGAATTTTCCTTGCGGCTTTGCTGTAGCTGCAGCCACATGAGTGCAGCTTCTGCAGGAGAAAGACACCCAGGCAAGGGATTCACCTGGGTGGGTGTTCAGAAAGGACATGTTTCTCCAACGTCGTCTGGCTGTTGGTTTCACCTTATTTAGTTGCAGGGCAGGGAAAATCAACTTTGGGTACGTTTTTTGTCCAGCATGGTCGCAGGCAATGTCAGCATTAGCAGGCTGATATATAATTCCCTGATCACCCTACAAGAAGGTGCAGGGTAGCCCTAATAGGGCCATTCTCAGAGGTGGAAGCCTCCCTCTGCCAGGCACATGGCCAGGAGCTTGACAGATATTTTGGTTGTTTTTAATTTTTATTTATTTATTTGTTTGTTTATTTATTTTGCGGTACGCGGGCCTCTCACCGCTGTGGCCTCTCCCGTTGCGGAGCACAGGCTCCGGACGCGCAGGCTCAGCGGCCATGGCTCACGGGCCCAGCCGATCCGCGGCATGTGGGATCTTCCCGGACCGGGGCACCAAACTGTGTCCCCTGCATTGGCAGGCGGACTCTCAACCACTGCGTCACCAGGGAAGCCCTGTTTTTAATTTTTAAAAATTTGTTTTGCATTATAAAAATAGTCAAACATATGCACAAGTAGAAAGCACAGTATAATGAACCTCCCTACACCTATCACTCAGATTCAGCATTTATCAAGATCTCGCTATGTATACTTCCTAATCCCCCTTTTAAATTTTTCTTTGACATGTAATTTATATACAGTAAAATGCATAGATATTAAGTGTACAGGTATGAGTTTTCTTTTTATTTTGAACTTTTATTATTTTGAAATAATTTTGTACTTATAGAAAGTTACAAAAATAATACAAAGAATTCCCATATACTCTTTAATGTGATTCCCTAAATGTTAAAACTTTACCACATTTGCTTTATCATGTTTTACACACACATTATCATCATCATCAACATCATCATCATCTTTCTGAATCATCTGCAGGTTGATGAGTTTTTCCGAATATTTTCAGATGTGTTTGAAGGCTGCTGAGAGCTTCCCATTCACCAGGATCTAGACCTTGAAAAGGTACCAAGTTAAATAGTTCAAACGCAGAAAAAACACATTTCCTGCCTTTAATATTTTAGGTCATATTTGCAAGTGAGTTCCAATAATATACAAACTCACCTTTTATTTTTAACAAAAGAAAGAAGGAAAAGAAACTAAATGAGTTCCAATAATATACAAACTCACCTTTTATTTTAGAAAAAAGAAAGAAAGAAAAGAAACTAACACCCACAGCAATCTGTTCTTCCAAGAGACAGTTAGGTAGAAACAAATTTAAAAGGGTATTCCAACCCATCCCCACTCACCCCGAATCCCAGCCGAGAACCCACTGGGAACAACTTGTTGTAAGCCTGAATCAGCTGCTAGTAATCACGATTTTATTCAATCTCATAAATCGCAGGGCTTGTGAAGCAACTGGATAATTCAGGCTTAAATGTATTCACATATCAAACCTTACACTTTTCCCAGGAGACATATTTGTTTGGTAAATACATCCTTATTGCTTGTTTCTAAAACAGCTGGATGCAGCTGTTTAAATGGAAATGGATTTTCAGCAAAAAAAGATTTCTCAATTACTTAGAAATAGAATCCTTCCCCGTTTCCCACTATCATTGCCTCTGTTCTCCACACGATGGGCCTGTTGAACCTTACAAGGTTTTCAGGCTGTGT